TTTTTTTTTTTTTTTTTTTAATTTTTTTCTTTTAAAGTAATCTCTATACCCAACACAGGGCTTGAACTCACAACCTCAAGATTAAGAGTCACATATTCCACCAGCTGAATCAGCCAGGAGCCTTTATTTCTGTTTCTACTTATTATAACCACATATTCTACCCTATTAGATATCCTATCTGATAGATACGTTGCTATCTATCAGACGCAAGGGGGGAAAGTGGTATTATGTTTGGTAAGAAACCCATGCAGGTTTTGTAAGAAAGTTACTGATTTATGTCAGAAACAAAGTGGGAAATAATTCCACAATACAAATTTCATGAGACAAACCTCAGGAAGCATTTTACTGGCTGTCCGTATTTGAGTTGCCTATTTAAATCTCTTGCATTTCTTCAAAGAAATTGATTTAGCACTCTGCTTCAGTTTAGAAATAGAGTTGAATATTTTGATTGCCTAACTATCCATAGCTAAGTTGATAAAGATAGTATTTTACCCTTGCATACTTATGCTATGTGAACTGCTTTTTCTCTGGCCAAAATAACTTAGAATAATGGTCTGTCCAGATTTAAATTATATTTTGTTTTTATTAGGATAACATTTATTAGCTAAAGAGACATTCGTTAGATTTCTCCCATATAAAATATAGATATTTTAGGAATTTATGACTGATTAGTGATATTTTGTTTATTGGTTTTTCTTTCACATACAAATGTCGTGGTTCCTTTTCAACATTTTTGTGTTTTGCTAAAAATTCCTGAGGCCCTAGAATGGGATGCATAGTAGGACCTTTCTTTAGAAGAGTATGGTGGAAGGCTTCTACCTCAAAATGGCACCTGAGAAGCACTCATTAGTGTCATGATGTTCACAAACATGAAATCTGGGCATGTCTTCTTTTCTTCGGTGTTAAAAATTTTAAATAATTTTACTACTACTAATAGTAATGTGACCTATGAAAAAGACTCATCTAGAAGACTCAGAAAAATACCTCTGAAAATTACTCACTGAAAAGAGGGGTGCCTGGCTGGCTCAGTAAGTTGAGCGTGTATGACTCTTGACCTCAGGATTGTAAGTTGAGCCCCATATTGGGTGTAGAGATTACTTAAAATCTTTTAAAAAAAAATCAAAAAGAAGTTTTTGGGAAATTGTTGGAGTCTTCCATAGAGTACAAAAATGTATAGACTCTATGAAACAGAAGCAAACTATTGTATGATAAACTAGACTGAGATAAAAAGCAGTAGCTATTTTTTCACTGACTGACATTTGATAAATACAAGCTAAAGAATAAATACTAGTAGAAATAGAAGCAACATATGTCTTCAGAACACTAAAGAGAAAAAAAAAAGTCCATGTAAAAGGAATTAAAAAAACACAATATATAGAACAAAGTAATTTAAGTGAGATCAATTAATTCTGTTATAAATCGTAAATATAAATAGATTAACTCCTTTGAGAAAGACAAAGATTTTCTTTCAGATGGAACAACAATAATCTAAACCAAAACCCAACTGTATTTAATTTATGTGACATACTTACATTGACCACAAATGTCCAGAGTGGCTGTAAATGATACCATTAAGAAAGTGAAAAGACAATCCACAGAATGGGAGAAAATATTTGCAAATTTTGTATCTGACAAATAACTTGAATCCAGAATATATAAAGAACTTTCAGAATTCAACAATAAAAAGACAGCCCAATTTTAAAATGGCAAACAATCTGTCACTATTTGCAGATGACATTATACTATATTTAGAATACCCTATAGACTCCACCAAAAATCTGTTAGAATGCATAAATGAATTGTTGCAGGATACAAAATTCATATACAGAAATTTGATGCACTTCATACACTAATAACAAAGTAGCAGAAACAGAAATGAAGAAAATAATTCTATTTACAGTTGCGCCAAAAAAGAATAAAATACTTAGGAATAAACTTAACCAAGGAGGTGGAAGACCAGTACTCTGAAAAATATACAACAATGATGAAGGAAATTGATGACAACACAAACAAAAAGAAAGATATTTTTTGCTCATGGATTGGAAGAATTAATATTGTTAAAATGTCCATACTACCCAAAGTAATCTACAGATTCAGTGCAATCCCAATCAAAATACCAATAGCATTTTTCATAGAAGCAGAACAAATAATCCTGAAATTTGTATGGATCCACAAAAGACCTCGAATAGCCAACACAGTCTTGAGAAAGAAGAACACAGCTGGAGGTATCACAATCCCAGATTTCACAATATGTTACAAAGCTTTAATAATCAAAACAGTATGGTACTGGCACAAAAAATAGACACATAGATCAGTGGAATGGAATAGAAAGCCCAGAAATGAATCCACTGTTATATGGTCAATTAATCTATGACCATGGAGGCAAGAATATACAATGAAGGAAAGAAAGTCTCTTCAAAAAATGGTGCTGGGAACACTAGACAGCTACGTGCAGAAGAATGAAACTAGACCATTTCTTACATCATTCACAAAAATAAACTCAAAATGGATTAAAAACCTAATGTGAGACCAAAAACTATAAAACTCTTAGAAGAAAACATGGGCAGTAATTTCTTGTACGTTGGCCTCATCAAGATATTTATGGATGTGTCTCCTCAGGCAAGGCAAATGAGCAAAAATAAATTATTAGGACTACACCAAAATAAGCTTTTTGTACAACAAAGGAAGCCATCAACATAATGAAAAGGCCATCTGCTGAATGTGAGAGGATACTTGTTGCTGTTTTTTTTTTTAAGACATTGTTTATTTTATTTTTGAGAGAGAGAGACAGAGCATGAGCAGAGGAGGGGCAGAGAGAGAGAGGGAAACACAGAATCCTAAGCAGGCTCCAGGCTCTGAGCTGCCAGCACAGAGCCCAGTGCAAGGTTCAAACTCACAAATGACAAGATCATGACCTGAGCCAAAGTCAGATGTCCAACTGACTGAGCCACCCAGGTGCCCCGATGTGAGAGGATACTTGTAAATGATATATCTGTTAAGGAGTTAATATCCAAAATACATTAAGAAGTTACATAGCTCAACACCAAAAAACCAAACAATCCAATTAAAAAAGGGGCAGAGGACCTGAGTAGACATTTTTCCAAAGAATACCTACAGGTAGCCAACAGATATATTAGAAGATGCTCAACCTCATTCATCATCAGGGAAATGCAAATCAAAACCGCAGTGAGATATCACATCACACCTGTCAGAATGGCCAGTACCAAAACAACAAGAAGTAACAAGTGTTGGTGGGGATGTAGAGGAAACACCACTTGTGCACTGTTGGTAGAAATATACTTTGGTGCAGCCACTGTGGAAAGCAGTATGGAGGTTTCTTAAAAAATTAAAAATAGAGGGGCACCTGGGTGGCTCAGTCAGTTGAGTGTCCAGCTTTGACTCAGTTCATGATCTCGTGGTTCATGGGTTCGAGCTCTGCCCTGGCAGTGTGGAGCAGGCTTGGGATTCTCTCCCTCTCTCTCTCTGCCTGTCCCCCACTTATTCTCTCTCTCTCTCTCTCTCTCT